TTATTTTAACATGTTGTCATTGAGTTGTTGTAAGAGCAACATGTTTTCAACATTCCAGAAATTGTCGGATGTGTCCCCTTGAATCCAAGGTGTGTTTGGTTCCAATGAACTATTGAAATCCATTTGAGGGAACAAACCTGATGGACTAGTGATGCAATCTGAAAATCCAAATTGATGAGATTGTTGGTAATAATCAGAATTAGGGTTAATATTGTTGTTACCACCAATAGAGACATTGTAATAATCTTGAGTTAAATCCGAAATAGGCGAAACTTGTGTCCCGAACGAATCCGATGACGCGGCCGTCGCACCATTGCTACTATTTTCCGGTGTAAAACTTTGTGCTACATGCAAACAACCTAAATTGTTCGTGTTCATGATTGTTGGAGTTAACATCATGTTTGCATTCGAGTTATGAATATTGGAATTGTCGTTAACATTGTACGTCGAGTTGTTTGTGACGACCGTTGTTGTAACATTCGGAGAACCATTATTAATGGTGGTGGCTGGGGCAGTGGAAGTGGATGCTGCGGCAGCTTGGATTCGCTCCACTAGCCTTGGCATCCAAAGATAGCGCATTGCATCTTTGAATTGCTTGCTATTTACGTCACATTTAAGTTGTTTAGCATGTTTTTGAACACGAGTTCTCCAATAATTCTTTATTTCATTATCGGTTCTTCCAGGTAAATATTGAGCAATTTTCGACCATCTGAATTCATCGAAAAAAATATATGAAAAAAATTAAATAAAAATTGATAAAATTATCAACAATACTTTTATTTAATATATAAAAAATTTAAAAATTTAATACAATTTTTTTAATGACAAAATGATTTATTGATAATAATATAAATATACGTATATATTACTTACCGATTTCCCCAACGACTATGAAGCTCAAGAATCAAAAGTTGTTCTTCTAGTGTGATGTTACCTCGACGAACATCTGGTCGAAGATAATTCAACCATCTCAATCTACAGCTCTTTCCGGTTCGTTTGAGTCCTAAAATCAAAAACAAAATTTCTTCAATTGGTAAAGTTTTTGAGAATGCAAACTAAAACAAATAAGGTAAAAATAAAGATAAAACTTTTTGTACTTAGTTTAATATGGAAAAAAATACATGGTATTGCGTTATAGTATCAATTCATTATTCTTTTTCCATTTTCATAAACTTGATGCAGCCTAGCAATTATTTCTGGGCCACCTATAGTTATATATTTCCTTTTCAATATTGAAATATTTTTGCCCCACCACATATACAAGTATATGCCTTAAATTAAAGTCCTTGCTAACATAATCACTATCATATGGTGCTCTTCATTAGAAAAACCGCAAACTTTGGCTTTTATAAAAAAATATTGATTGGTGTGATATGAAACTAGACGAGAAGTGAAGGAGCTTTCACACCATAATTATAGAAATTAACTAGAAAAACATAGTGTTGAAGAATATAATATAACATAATATATAGTTTTGATTTATTAATTCTTCAATGAAAAGTATTGAAGAAAAAATAATGAAAAAAATTACCAGCTGAACGAGCAAGGGTATTCCAACGACCTTCACCATGAGTTGCAATGTAATTGATGAGAGCAAGATCTTCATCAACAGTCCATGGACCTCTTCGAAGATCCATTTCATCATCATCACTTTGGAGCATGGTGGTGATGTTTGAGTTGCTTGTTACACTTGCTTTAACTTCCATGAAAAATATTGAATTTGATTACACTAGTTTGGAGAAGCTATATGTATAGTTTTGTTTGATTTAAGAACTTTGTGTTGATTTGATTTGGTTTGGTTTGGTTTGGTTTTAGTTTGAGGGAGAGAAAGAGAGAGATTAAGAGAAAGAGAAAGAGGTTTTTGGCTTATTACAAAGATAGAGAAGGGTAGAGGCTTTTTATAGATATATTCAAAGGATGGAGTCATGTAAATGAGTTAGAAGAAAAAATGAAAAAGAAAAAGGAGAAAATGATGGAGTTGTGAAGAGATTGATGAGAGAGATAAAAGTACTACTACTAGTAATAGTTGATGATTTAATTAATTATATTTTTAAATAAAAATAGTAAATATAGTAATTGTATAATTACTAGTAATATATATGACTTGTAAATAAGGAAATTTGATGCTTTAACATTTTGACTTTTATGACTTTGCATTGTGCAAACGTGCACTTGGGTGTGATAGTCCTTCAGCTATGATTTATGGTTGCTTATAGAATGGACTATTGGTCTATGATAGATAAATGTGTAAGAACCATTAGATTAAGTAGATTATTTTATGGTGTATCCTCTATATTTTTTATATTACTCTTTCTCAACTCTTTTTACTCTCTTTTATTTTTTTATCATCTCTTAGTTTTCAAACAAACAAAATAATTTATCAAGTGAGAGTATAGTAGGAACCTTATAGTTAAAAGGTGGATATTGAACAATACACAAATAACATAAAAATAAGTAAGTTTATAAATTTAAATGTTATATAATTTTGAGTTAAGATATAATGTTCAACTTATTTTTGTAGTTGTTTAAGATCTAATGGATTGATCTTTTGAATCTCCCATGATACACTTTTATACTATACAGAAATAAATAGGTATATAAATTTAATCTCATAAGATTTTGAGTTAAAGTTAGGTGTTCAACTTATTTATATAATTGTTTAAGGTCTAATGAATGATCTTTTGAATATTTTATGAAGCTCTTTTATTCCTACACACTTGAAATTATAGTCAATATTATTTTTTATTTTGTTGTCCTATTTAAATTTGATCCGTGTGTAATTTAATTTTTCACTATTTATAATTTGTGTGTAATTCAGTTTTTTAATTATTTGATTAGGTGCGTACCTTTAATTTACACTTATATTTAACAAATTAGTTTTGGATTCATGCCAATGTATTTTTTAAGCCTATGCAATTTGGTATAAGTCAAATTGTTTAGTGTAACTTTAATCACAAGTTAGAAATTTTAAATCAATATTTTTATAAAGTTTGACTCGAATCAGACCTTCTGATGATTCCAATCAACCAACTAGCAGAAATTTAGAATTTAAATATGTCAATATGATTCGAATTAGAGATGTGCGTGATTCGAATTACAATACTCCTTGATTCAAATCACAAGAAGCTTTAATTCGAATTATGACAATCAAGAATCTTTTAAAATACAACAATGATTTGAATCATGCCTTAGCTTGATCTGAATCATAAACATAAATCTTGATTCAAATTAAAGTGCCAAATTCCTCATTTTACTACCTTGATTCAAATTAAAGTGCCAAATTCCTAATTTTACTACCTTGATTCAAATAATTTCTTTCTTTGATGCAAATCATAACCTCGTGATATGACTCAAATCATTTTTTCTTTTCTTCACCTTTTTGTGTCTAACCTCTAGCACATATTTAAACCTTTTAAGTGTCTCTTTTTAAGGCTGATCAATTAAAGAGTAAGCCAATTGGTCATTATTAATTAGATAGTGAGCTAGTGGGTGTTGTACATATTTTCAACACAAGTATTTATATTATCGTTTTTCTTGGGGATTGGTGTGATATTACTGTCGTTCTATAGTTTTAGTGATTTTAAGTGTTTGATTCATAGACAAAGTTTTGGTATTGAGTTTTAGTAACAAAAAGATTAAGTTTCATGCACAATATTGTGATATGGATAAAAAAGATATATTTTTTTGTTTGAAATGCTTGTTTTGATAAAAGGCATGTTAAGATTAGTTTTCATTAACCTATTTCATACATATTCAATTAATCAAGCATATGAACTAATTGATGATCGACATATTCACGTATCCTCTCAACACTACTCATGTCTAAGCAATATTGTGAGTATTATCATGTTAATCCTTAAATGATCTCCCAACCTAACTATTAACATGATAATGTTTAAAGCTTGATACAAGTGAATACTAACTCACAAATCTATGTCTAGAGTTTGCTCATTAATAGATGAATATCTTAGGTCATGTTTGAAACTTACTTCTCAATAATGATCCAAACTATAAAAAGAACAAAGAAAGCAAAGATATTCAACATATATTAATCATCAACCAAATTCATATACAAAATGATCAAAATAAATACATAAGGGCTAGATTAACTACCTCTAATCTTGACACAAAAGATGCTTAGCTACTCATAGTCATGATACCTTGATCAACAAATAAGCAATAAATCTTTATGGACATCAACCTTGAAGTTTCCAAGATTGAAGATGCAAAGCTTTGATTTTTGTAGCAATGGAGGAAAAAGGGTTTTTATTTTCTAAGATCAAAAGTACAAGAGAATGAGGAAGTATGGCACAAAATATCACAAAAGTAGCCTAAAAGCATAGACAGTCCACATGCCATCGCCAAGCGACCATAAAGCATCATCAGGTGATGCTAGTTAGATGTACCATGTGACCAACTAGACGAGAGAAATAAGCAGAAAATATCCACCATCGCTCGACGACAAGAACGCTTTGTCGGACGACTCTTCTTTCGTCGGGCGATCGAGGAGCGAGACAATCCAGGAGCTAACCCAAAAATTAAGCCTTTCTTCACAACTTTCGTCGGGTGACACATCCTTGTCGCCGGGTGATCCACCACAGCAATGCCATTTTTCTTTGCATGCAACAACAACAGAGAGCCGACTTCAGGCTGTAATATCTGCACAAAAATTGCTGAAAAACTAACAAACAAATTAAAACATTCAAACTTATTTATATTTATGAAAAATGACTTAAAATATGTGCTTATCCTAATTAAAAACATAATAAAAGGTTTGAAAGTGTCAATAAATGATATGAAAATTACTCAAAAGTTGACACTTAACAACTCTCCCCAACTAAAGTCTTTGTCTGTCCCCAAATTAAAGGTAAACACCAACATAACAAGATGAATTTATAAGAACAAAATCAACAATATAAATTTGGATGATTCAAACTCAACAGATGCGGTCACAAACATAAATCAACTGTTTTCATAATCAAAGCATGGTAGTGAAATAAGTTCTAAACACAAACATCTAGCTATGCATAAATTAGTAACAACATATTCATATTTGAATCACCTACTCTCATTCAACAAATTATGGATTATGTACATAAGACAAAGGACAAAACACTCTCATTAGTAATTGTGCTAACATCCAGAACAATTCATGTATTCATCAAATAAGTTGAAAAGAAAAAAGGATATGCAAAGCCATTGAAGCAAGGAAACATAGATCACAAATGGACTTTTATTGGTTGTAACTTGGTTTGGTTTAAGAACAAAGGATTATATATGCAAGGCCATTGAAGCAAAATGGGTAAAGATCATGTAGAGTAATTCAAATATTCACAACATTCATTCTTGCTTCCTCCTTAGTTTTATCACAACCTTTGATTTCTTTTTTCTTACAATGCTCCTTTCTCTCCCCCCACCCCCCCTTTTTTCCCTCTTTTTATATTGCTATTTTATTTTAACATTTATAAAAGGATGCATTGTGCCACCAATTCTTTTTTTCTTTTTAAACAACCTCCCCAACTTTCAGCATTTCTTTCCTTTTTATTCAAGCAATTTCTCTTCATACAAGGCTAATTCAAACAATTGGGTAAAGTGTTTACAAGTAAGAAATTTTAGAATGAATCATCATTGAATCTCTTTTTTGGTCATCAACACAGTTACTAAGTGGTATACTTAGAAATTTTTTGGCTTATTGATAGATTCATTCCAATTTTTTTTAAAGCTCAAAAGGGTTCACAAGGATTCACAAGCTCACAAGGTTAAATGAGACCCTTTTGGATATGATGGTAACTCTCGTAATACAGAAACAATTCCTTGATCCTTTCTAAGTTTCCAAAATTTCTATTCAAAAACAAGATTTAACATGAATCACTCGAGCTAAAACAACAATTACTAAAATGTTAACAATTTGGTGAACAATGGAAAGTCACTCACATTTGTGGTTATGTCCTAATGATTCAAGCATGCACACTTATTTATATAACAATGCATAACTATGTTTTTGCCTAAAGGACTATTTTCAATATTATGCTAACATTCTAAAAAATGGTAAACTAATACCTTCTTTGCACATCTCTTTGAGATTTTTATCATCACCACCCAAATCACGAGATCGATCAAGCCTCAAAGAATCAAACTTGCTCCTTGAGCACTTAACTCCACTATTTACAAAGATAAAGAAAACCCACTACCTATGTACATACCATAGTAAAATATAATACTATTAATTTCAACCAAAAACTATAATTTATCATACTTCAATCATAAAAAAATAAATTCCAACCAAAAAGGATACCAACACCCACTAAAAGGATTCAATCCCAACATACAACCAACACAATTTTTAAAACACAACAAATTATTCCACATTTAAATTTTTAAACCCAAAATAAAGCTAAAAACAAAACAAAAATAAATAAAATTTCTTCACTTTGATGCAAATACTTTAATGCTCCATATTGTCACCACCATCATCACCAACATGTGTTGCCCCCTTCGAGAAGAACGGACGCCTGTCCACAGGCCAATTGTAGAAAACATCATATTCAGCACGGGTAGGGAAATAAACTGCCTCTTGAGGATTAGTCTGATTCAGAAACAACTTTTCCATGAAATCATGAAGAAAGCTTCCAGACCTTTAATGAGCTTCCAACATGTCCCAAGTGTAATTGCAAGTCTATTTCACCCTAGGATCCCAATTTGCATA